TCGCAGTTGTAGATTTCTAGTTTACTTTTTCCAAAATCGTTTTCCGATCTTTACAATCATTGTAGTTCACGGTGCTCACGGCAATTGTATTGCTACATGTACGAAAAATCGGATATCTGGAGACATGGTAGTTTATCTTACCGCATAATTTTCGATCGGAAATTGAGGAGAGAAGAAGGAAATATTGAGAATATTCATTTATATATAGTATACTACATTACCGGTAACATCTTTATTGTCTAATATGTCTAAACAAAAAAGTAGTAGCAAGCATTACACAACGCTTGAGAAAAAAATTCTCATTGAAATCTTAAAAAAATACAGTAATGTTATCGAAAATAAGAAAACTGATTCTACTACTTTGAAAGAAAAAGATAAGACGTGGAATATAATTACTGAAGAATATAATTCGTCCAGCAATGTTACTGAAGAGGTTAAGTATTGTTTTGAGATCTATAATAATATAATATTTCTGACGTGTTGTGTTATCCAATTTCTTTAATATTTTTTAATTGTAGAGATCGATACAACAACTTAAAAAACTTTGGGCCAACATGAAAGCGACACAACGAAATATTTTAACGAAGGAACGTCAAGCAAGATTGGGTACGGGAGGTGGCCCTGAGGAAAAAGTGCCTGAAATAGATCCAGATATTGCACTTGTTTCACCAAATTTATTAGAAATGGCACCAACACAATTTTCGTCCGACCTATCTGAGGCTGAAATGCGTAGTAAGTACATAATATAAATCTACGATTTTAGCAGATTTTTATTACATAAAAAGTTTACTCAAAATATGTTATAAGCTATACCTTTTGTAATAATTCAGAACAAAGACAACGAATTCGAGATAATCCAGATATGATAATAGTTGACAATATAGAACAAGAACAGGCTGAATCTTTATTAGAAATAGACATTACTAACTCGGAATTATCTCATGAAGAAAGCGTTATAGGGGATTACATTATTGAAGATGAAAGTGGAGAATGTCACAAAGCCAAAGCTAAACGATCAATGTTGACAGGTAATATATTGACATTAAATAATTGATATTAATTTATTATTTGTTCGTATAACTCATTTTTTCTGTTTTCTCTCTTTAATGTTATACAATATACATTTATTGCAATAGATATTAATCCAACTAGGACGAAGAAATACTGTATTGAAATGTCAAGTACAGAACAAGAGACATCAAAAATATCGCAACCCAAGACTACTCCATTATTGGAGCTTCCTGCATCAAGTATATGTTAATATTATATACAAATAAGCCAATTGTATATGTATATACATCTTATATATATGTGTATGTACTAATTTCATTTTCTATAGTTTCGCAATCATTTACATC